TAAATATTAAAAAAAAAAATCACCCTGGCTGCTGTGTAGAAAATCCATTGAGATGGAAATATAGCTAAATGGGACTGAATAAGAGATTGTGGTGATTTAGGGGCATATATTGTTTGTGAAGATGCAGACAGGTATTTGATAATCAACTAGATGTGGAGCTGATGGAGAAAGAAGGGTCAAGATTGACTACCAGGTTACTTCTTTGAGCATCTAGGTGGACCAACAGGCAATTTTCTGCATAGGAAAAACTGAAGGAAGAATAAACCTGAAGGTGGGCTAGCAAGAGAAAGATAAAATCAAGAGTTCAGTTATGGGCGTGTTCAGTTGGAAACACCTGTGAAATATCCAAGTGGAGTTATCAGGTAGGTCACAGGATATGAGTCAGAAGTTCACAAAAGGATTATGGATGAGAGGCAAGCATTCAATAGTCAGCACCAGATAGAAGTGATCTGAAGCCAGGACTATACATGAATGTGAAGAACAAAAGGGTAAAGATCAGAGACAAATGTGAGTCGTAGGATATAGGCCAAGGAACAAGCAAAGGAAATTGAGAAGGAAAATCAGAGAGATAAGCAAGGAAGAGAAAACACCCAAAGAAAGTGGTACACAAAGGCCAAGGGGCAGAGCTGAGATAGTATTAAGAAGGAGACCCATCCCTTATGTTGAATGCTGCTTAGGGGCAGGCAAGAGGTTAAATGAGGTCTGAAGAGCATCCAGAGAGTTAGGCAACATGGAGGTCTTCAGTAGTCTTAAGAGCAAATTTGATAAAGCAGTAGAACATAAGCCAATTGAAATGACAGGAATAGTTGGTTAATTGTAATATGAAGACAAGGAAACACAGTGTTCTAAGTAAGTGGTTTGAACTGTTTGGCTATGATAAAGAAGAGAGAGATAAGGAGGTAGGTGGAAGGAAGATTTACTTACTTAGTTTTAAATAATTTTTTTTTAGTGTTTTATTGTGAATTATATGATAGTTTACATGGGAGAACATTAGCTTTACATTCATCCTATCGTATATAATTTCATTGCCATGGTTACAATGGCATCATCAACCAACCAAAGGGTATACCCTGCAAGCCTGCCCCTGGTCATCAGCACACAGTCCCTCTCCCTCTCTAGGTCTAGAGTTCCCAGCTGCTCCATCTCTCCAGTCATCCTCTTTGGCTCCATCTCTGATGTCACAGTTTCTCTGGGTAGAGTCCCGTTCTCCGCTCTTCTCCTTTGATGGTCCCAGGGACCTCTTCTCCTAGACTGCAGTTAATCACTCCCCTTCTTTTGCTACAAAATGTCAACCTTTACATTTCCAACCCTCACAATCAGTCCTGATAGCAATTATTATTCACTATTGTATCACAAGAGACTTACCTGCATCTCCTTTCATCAGCCCCACCCAGACAGACTGGATACTACTCAATGGAGATTCTATCTTCCTCCATGCCCTCTGGATCTAGGTTCCCTCTTGAAAGCTTGTAAGCCAGCCACTTTTTGCCTTTGTAGTCCCCCCATTTTGGGTAGCCAATGTCCAAGTTCCCCATCCCTAATTACTCTGTGTATGGAGGGGGTGGGAATGATCCTCTCTGTAAATATTTGTTCCCTCTTTTGAGACACTGCATCCATAGGTGTAGGTCAAGTTCATCAAATTGTATCAGATTACTCTTTTTTTCCTCTTCTTTCTTCTTCTAGCTGAGCTCTGATCATCCAATGATTGAAGCCAGGTCAAGTGGGTATTATCTGCAAGTGTGGGTGTTCTTGTGCATATGCACTCTCTTCTTATCAGCTGGATGCTTCACTCTCCACTCTAGTCCTCTGTGGCTATGTCACTGACTCTGGGCCCAGGAGTCCCCAGGTCTTGCCACACTGCTGGTCAACCAGGTCTCGACCCAGGTTCACAGGAGTCTATTGAACGTTGTAGGGCTTAGCTCGCAGCTTCATTGCTGTTTTTTCCTCACTTCCCCTTATCAGTGACGAACGTGGTCACCAATCAGAGCATGCATTCCCATTGAGTCTTAGTCTTGGAAGGGGGTTTGCCCTGAGGGGACCCGACAACTTGCCTTGACGTCTCCTGGATGAGCAACTTGCTTGTTCTTGTAGTAATCAGTCAGACTGGCTATATTGTTTTGTATTTTTCCTGTCGGTCTTTCTTTCAAGAAGTATCTTCTATTCTTCTAGCCACTCCAAGATGGTCTGCTTCTCCTTACAAGTGGAAATTTTCCACCTCAGAAGATTCTGGATGCTGTTCAGGATTCTACCTATGGTCTTACGCAATGCAAGAGGCTCCACAGGAAGCCTCCTTCACTGGGCATGTTTTAGCCCCATCTTAGGTATTCCAATCAGTTATAGGCAGAAGACAGACTTACAAGCTTTCTATGGTGATATTTCTGGCTATTGCCTTATCTCCTCCTCAAGTGTCTATTTTATAATGGTATGCCAGGGAAACCCAAGATTCAAAAGATAGTCAAGCATCTTAACATTATTTCCCCACCTTTTGCCCATTCCAACCATGTCTCAATCCCTGTATCCCAGAACCCTGTTGTTCCAAGGTTGTGCATACATCATTATTTATCTCTGTCCCACTTAGCCCATGCACCTGCCTAATTGTTCTCCCATCTGCTTTGTTCTTCCATTCCCCTCCCCATTATTGTGTATTGCCCCTCCCTAGCACCCAAACTATCCTGTGTTTGTTTCCTACCCTGTGTTCCACCTTCTCCTCCCTCCCCTCATTCCACCCCTCACATTCCAATAACCAGCAAAGAGTCCCCCCACCCCTGTAGTATGGGTTCTTTTTCTTAGTCTTTTACAGTAGTCATCCTATGCAGTATTTCTCCTTTTTTTAAATAACACTTTAAATAATAAAGTTGGTGTGTCTACAGGAAAAGCTTAATAGACAGAGAGAAGTTGGGTTGAGGGATGGAAGGCTTGAGACCTTTTGAGAAGGTGAGACTGGCTAACACTCAAAAGCTCATGAAAAATGGGAAGAAATAATCTTTCTTTATAGTGAAAAGATATGATGCTTTTTAATTTCTCAGGGAAGTAAGGAGTGAGGTCATCTCAGAGTCAGTGGCAGAAAGAAAGTGGGCCAGAGACTTGAATAGAGTGAAGGCATGAGATATTTGTGTCATAAAATAAAAGAAGCTTATTTGAGAAAAACAGAAACATTGCCAAGCATTATTGGGTCTCTGAGTTTGACCGTCGAGAATACGTAGTAACACCCTTCAACCCATAATCCTGTTTCTGCTTCTCATATCCTCCGGAGTTCCTCACCCAAAGCTAGTTCTGCCATTTTTCACACCTTTTGATGACAGACAGTAATTCCACCTCCCAAGACCAACTAATCCTCTAACAGCTGCATGAGTTGGTTCTGTAAGTCAAGCTGCCAACAGGCCCCTTTCCCAGGGATAGCCTCTGTCAAGCTACCAAAACAATAACAGGAAAGACGGAGGTGACCTCCCTGGTTGGGTCTTGCACGTTCCTAGAGTTCTACCTGTATCTTAGACCTAGAGAATATAAAGATGACTTTCCCTACAAAGTGACATTTACATTGACTTGAGTTGCTTCACTTTTGAGTAGAATTTGATGCTAATGACAGTCAGGCAAATAGAATGTATGTGGGCTACACAGATATGTTAACTACATGAATGAAGAAGACAGAAGGACTCATGGGGAACATGATACCTCATTCTTCTGCTCCACAAGTTTTCCAGCATGACACAAATAGTATAATATTAGTAAATATCAAAATAATACATCTGATGCTTCCAGAAAATGCTGCTTGCTATTATCTGTAAATAATCTTTGAAAAGCATAAGCCTCGTATCCTGCAGAATTAGAAACTCAAGTCTTTGATTTGGTTTTGAGCATTAAAAGAAAAGTAGACCTACTATCTGAATAGATTCTTTAGTCTTTTAAAGTATGGAGTTAGGATGAGCATTCATAAAGTTTAATATGTAAAAGCCATGCAGTTTAATTTTGACAAGCTGACAACCAAGAAATCAATGTGCAACTTTCATCTCGACTTTCATTTCCAACAATATCATTTTGAGCTCATTCTCTGGCACTGAGATCAAATGTTCATATTTATAGGTCTCAAACAAAGAAGAGCCTAAAAAGGAAACCACATCCAGCAGAAATTCTTTACACACATTACCAATAGAACTTACTTCAGCTGAAATGGTTTTCTGTTCTCAGCATAGTGGAAAACATAGTGAAGAAAAAAAGAATGTGGTAAAGTTCGTTTGCTCTTTCTTTCCCAAATCAGAATTTTATTTCATTTTATTATGTTAGGCTTAAATCAACTAAAACTTAACTCCAAATGGCAATCTACCAGGAAGGCAATCGGCCAGAGGAAAAAAATTAATCAAAAGAAGAATACCTCAACTACCAGCCTGAATTTTAAGAAATGCAAGTAAAACGTCATACTCTTTCTAAAAGGTATCAGCTAACATTCAAGCTATGGCCTGAAACGTGCAAGTAAAGCCTTTTCTAGGGTAAGTGTCAGCTGTGTTCCGTGCAGTTTGAACTTGGCAGTGAGTGTACAACGTCCCAAAACATCAATGCATTTTTCAAAGAACAGTGAACTTGCACTGAAGACAATGACAAGAAGACAGATGAAAGCAAGGACTCCAATTCATCTTTTCAATAAACAGAAATATGAAAGGAAATGAAGCAATCGTATTTGAATACACTTAAGACATCCCTACAGGGGGAACCAGTAGTAAAGACTGAAAAGCTAGTGGAAAAAGCAATTCCTTCAACTTGAGTATGATAAATTGCCGTGAATATTAGCTCACAAATCCCATGCACTCTGCTCTCTCAGCATCTGCTACTCGGTACTTCACAGTACTCTGTAACAAATTGATCTTACTACTTCCCTTTGGTGCTACCATCACCAGGAACGTGAAATAAAAATTCAAAACCATGGTAATTTCACTCAGCATTTACATTCAACCAAATGGTACCACCACTTTACCCTAAAAGCTGCATTCAAAGAAAAGTTTCTTTACCTTGGTCTTTTCACCAACAATGTTTTTTTCCAGTTCTGCTATTTTCTGGTTTAGATGATCCAAAATTTCCTTCTCCTTCATAAGTTCAGTTGTTTCTGCTTCTTGTTCTCCATCCAAAAGTGCACATTCCATATCCAACTGAGAATACAAAACAAAGTTCACAAATGGTTTTCCTTCTGTGAAATTCACACCTATCAGCTTTAGAGGTACATTTTTAGTAGCTACAAATATAAAAAAAATAATATTGTCAAAGTCACTGTTTTGAAGAACCTCCCAGAGTCATGTGAGACTCAGGACTTACATAAGAAAGTTGGAGGGACCAGAATGTATTTTCTAAGAAGATTATCGCTAAATTTTCCTACCATAACGTCTTTTTTGGTTACTTATCAATGGTGTTTTGTCTATTGCCTGAGACTCAAGATCAAGTATGAACCTCCTAGAAACAGCCACTTCTTTCTTTGTCTCTAGACTAAGAGAAGTGAAGTTTACAATGCATGCAAAGCCTGCATTCCTAGCAATGCTAGCAGGAGGGGCTTCCAAAGTCTATGCTTAGATGACAGGTGAGCACTCCCCTTATCCCTAATGGGGCTGTCTGCATCATCCAGGATACAGACATGCTGACCCCTCCCCACCACCTCTAGCCAGCAAAATGATTTGTTCCTTCTCATTCAATGGAGGTAATTTAAGAATTATCATCATCTTTCTTCAATCTTAATTATAAAATTTCTGTCTGTCTCCTTTCTAGCTTGCAAAGTTATAGATCATGGATGAATCTCTTCAGAGTGCCAGTACAATACCTGAATCATTGTAAGCAGAGTAAACATGCTCAGAAAAATTTTGTTGTATTTGAACTCAAACACCCAAATCTTGAGTCTTCCTGTTGACAGAACTTTTGGGGCAAACTAGGAAGTACACATTAGTTAAGACAATCCAGGCATTCATAAAGTGCAATAAAAATGGCAACACATACAATTCAACAATAAAGACAAACACCCCAGTCAAAAAAATGGGCCAAGGACATGAAGATGTACAAATGGCCAACAAGCATATGGAAAGATGCTCAACATTAGTTATTAGGGAACTGCAAATAAAATCACTTCATGTCCACTAAAATGGCCATGATTTTAAAAAATAATAAAAATACCACAGGTGTTAGTGAGGATATAGACACACAGGAGCCCTCATCTTTTCCTGGTGGTGTTGTAAAATGGTACAGACTGTAGAAACCAGTCTGGTTCTTTCTCAAATAGTTAGACATAGAATTATCATATGATCCTATAATTTCACTAGTAGATACAGCCAAAAGAATGAAAAGCGGGAACACAGACAGACCAATGTACACAATGATCACTGTAGTACTCTACACCATAGCCAAAAGACAGAAGCAGTCTAAATCTCCATCAATAGATGAATGGATACGCAAAATGCAATGTACACACACCATGGAGTATTACTCAGTCACAGAGAAATGCAGTTCTGATAAATGCTACAACACGCATAAGCCTTGCCAACATCATGCTGAGTGAAATAAGTTAGTCACAACAGAATAATTATTATATGATTCCGCTTAAATGAAATATCTAGAATGGGCAAATGTCTACAAACCAAAGCCAATGAGCTTCTACTAAGGGTAATGGGAAAAGTTGAAAGTGGATAATGGTAATGGTAACACAACATGAAGAATTAAATTAATGTCACTAAACTGTACATATGAAGAATGTTGAAATGGCAAATGTTTTGTTACATCTATGTTTATCACAATTTTTTTAAAAAAGGCTTAATATGTTTATCTCACCTAATTCCCAAAAAATGAAATGCTAAAAAAAAAAAAAAAAAGGTCCTTGTACTATATATGTTACCCGTTCAATGAATATTTGCTCATGTTGAAAGTTTGTTTAGCTTAACACCTGTGTCCTAAGAGTCAATATTTTTAAATTAAAAAAAAAGAAAGTGAAAATAGGATAAAACATCAACATACCTCTCGGGAAGATTCATCCATTTGGTCATTTATATCTTTGATTTTTTGCTTAAGTTCCTCAAGGTTGTTCAGAATTACAATCTGGTTCTCTTCCATTGCAGCCAACTCCTGAGTCCTTTGCTCTTCACTTATACTTTCTGAGGTCTGTGATTAATCAACATAGTAAAGGATCATTCCCACTTCCAATGCAGTTATTTCCCAATTTATAAACTAGTCACAGGTCTAGTATTTCACAGCCTCCATACCCATCTGGAGTCTGAAAACATTCTTGTGATTGTCTAGTTGGAACTCTGAAAGCATTTTCCCATCATAACAAAGCCATACTCTTCAGCTAGGTTCTTAGGTTAGCTCATAAAACCTAATTAATTCTCATATTCAGATTTTCAGAGGCTGAGGTCCTAGAAGAGTGAAGTGATTTCGTCAAGCTAGAGAAAGTTCAGTATTGTAGAACTAGAACCTAGACAAGGATCTCTTGGATATGACGCTGCCTTAATTACAAGCTCCACATTGTCTCCCATCAACTAATGATAACCTCTTTTCAAATGCTCTTGAATTTCTAGCCACAATACTGGGACCCAGTGCTAGGATTATCTACAAATGAGCATTCACACTTATTAAATCCTTCGCAACACAAGGTTGAAGAACAAGGACACATTGTGCTTGGTTCTGTCTTACTGGAATGTCCAATGAAGTTAATAACTAGAAAAAATACAGGCTTTAATCATTTTTGTTGTTGTTGTTGTTAAGTGCCATCGAGTCAGTTCCAACCCATAGCGACCCTGTACAGGGTTTCCGAGGGTGTAAATCTTTACGGGAGTAGAAAGCCTCATCTTTCTCCCGCGGAGCGGCTGGTAGTTTCGAACCGCTGACCTTAAGGTTCGCAGCCCGACTCGTAACCACTACGCTACCAGAGCTCCATATAGCCCTCAAATCAATTTAAGCACTACATGTTTAGTATAAAGTTAATTCATATTTCACTTTCTTGCTAGTTCACTTGGTTTCTATATAATGTAAAAACAGTAGTGGGGCCACGTAGACATTTGTGATCTGAAAAAGGACATGGGCCATCATTTGTAAAATTATTTCATGGATTACCTGATTTCATTGGCTTTAACAAGACAATTTTTTTTTTTTAAAAAAGAACGTACTTATACCCATGACTAGAGTATGACAAATGTCAAAAGAAAAAAATATTGTTGCTTTGTTTTTGTTAAGAGCTGTTGAGTCCATTCCAACACATAGCAACCCTGGGTTTGAGCTGCTGACCTTGCAGTTAGCAGTCCAGTGCTTATCCTACAGTGCCACACCAGAACTCATGGTTGTTTACTTCCATTGCCAAAATTAGACCACCTATTGTTTAAGTAGTGGTTATGAATCGGGCTGCGAACCACAAGGCCAGTAGTTCAAAACTACCAGCTGTTTCGCGGGAGAAAGATGAGGCTTTCTGCTCACGTAAAGATTTACAGCCTCGGAAACCCTGTACAGGGTCGCTATGGGTCGGAATCGACTCGACGGCACTTAACAACAACAACAATTGTTTAAGTGTCCCTCTTAAACCTTCATAGGGTTGCCCTGTGTTGAAATTGGCTTGATGGCAACTGGTTTTATTGTTTAAGATGAGAACATAATGATTTGAAAATAGTCTCTTCTTCATTCAAGAATTTCAGTCTAGTTTTCTTGTAATCTGATGGAGGTTTCTGTAAGTCAGGTGTTTTAAATTCAAGGAATGCCATTACTGGCAATATTATTTAATTTTTATCTTGCAAAGAAGTAATTTTTTTGATCAGTAAGCCAATAACTATATCATTTCACAACTGGAAATTGAAAACAGCAGCCCAGATAAGTAAATTATTGAAGACGACTCACTAATTACTAAAAACAATATTCAAGATAAAAAGAGCAACCATTAAAACTTAGTGTGCCTCCTTAAAAACATTCAATTTATTTAAGAATCCTGATCATTTAAAAATATCTGGATATCATAAACTTCATTTTTACCCTATTTTACTATTCCTTAAGGAGCTTCAGTCATTGAGAAGTATCTCAGGTTTGTTAGAATAAAGGCAAGCAGGTCTCCCAAGTGCTGACATTTAGCTTTTTCATTGTCAATGGAAGTCCAACAGTTTATCAACTGATAACAACTGCTGGCCTTTCCCTCACAGATAAAGAATCTCATTGTCCTAATACTTAGATGTCTGCTTTAGGCCATGAGAAATGCCTGCAACCATGAATGGCATTCCAAAATCACTGCTGAGTAATCCCAGGAGGAAAGCCTCTCATGGGCTACTATTCTTATGGGTTAATGGAGATAGTACATTATTAAGTTTCATCATCCAATGTAGTTTAAAAATATATCTACCACTGGTGGAAGAAGGTTATTAAAAAAACAACTGAACAATCTGAAAAACTGTACACTTTATAAGAAAGATGATTCAACAGAATGTGGAAATTATTGAACCATATTACTAACATCACATGCAAGTAAATTTTGCTGAAGATAATTCAACAATGGTAAAAAAGGGCTACTGCTGTTATCAGATGGATCTTGACCAAAAGTAGAGAATACCAGAAAATACTTACATGTGTTTTACTTACTACACAAACACATTTGATTATTTAACTGTGTATATCATAACAAATTATAGATAATATTACAAAGAATGGGAATTCCAGAACACTT